CAGTGGAGCACCCGGGGCAAAATCATCTGTGGGGTCTGGCGGTCGGGGGCCAGGAGGCCCAGCAGCAGCTTGTGGTCTGTGAGGACCGTGAAGGGGCACCCGTACAGATAGTGGTGAAATTTTTTCACCCCTGCCACAATCGCCAGTGCCTCCTTATCTATCTGCGCGTAATCGCGCTCAGCAGCTGATAGAGTCCTGGAATAGTACGCAACCGGGACCTCGCGGCTGTCTGGCAGCTGGTGGCCCAGGACCGCTCCCACCCCTTAAGGGGAAGCGTCACATGCCAGCACCACTGGGAGCGCCTCATTGAAATGCGCCAGAACCGCATTCGAGACGAGCAGGTCTTTGACCGCCTGGAACGCAGGTGCTTGTGGTGGACCCCAGACCCAAGGTGCTGACTTGTCCAGGAGGCGATGGAGTGGTTCCGCAACTGCAGCTTTCAGGGGCAAAAGGGAGTGGTAGAAGTTCAGGAGCCCCCAAAAAGCCTGCAGTTCGGACTTGGACGCTGGAGGCGGCGCCTGCGTGATGGCGGTCACCTTGTGCATGGTGGGGTGGATGCCCAAGGCATTGACCACGAAGCCCAGGAATTCAACGCGAGCCCCCCCAAGAGACATTTTTCCCGTTTGACTTTGTGCCCTGCTGCGTTGAAACGTTGTAGTACGGCCCTCAGACGGTCAGCGAAGGATGAGTCGTCCAGATCAGCACGTCGTCTAGAAACGGCTGAACCCCAGGGATGCCTTTCAGGAGAGAATCCATAAAAGATTGAAAAATCCCGGGTACGACCAAGACTCCGAACTGGAGGCGGTGAACCTTGAACTCCCCCTGTGAGTTGTGATTGTTTGGGCTTCAGCCGTGGCGGCATCAACCAGCAGTTGTTGATACGTCTGAGCCAAGTCCAACTTGCCAAAGACCCGGGGCTCCGCCAAAGCCGCCAACACGTGGCTCACCACCGGCACCGGATAAGCGTGTGCCTGCAGAGCCTTGTTTAGTGTGCATTTATAATCAGCACAAATACGCACGTCCCCGTTGGGCTTCACCAGGGTGACTATGAGGGTCTCCCATCGTGCCAATGTGACCGGTTCCAGAACCCCTTGTTCCACTAAGCGATCTAGCTTGGCCTCGATTTTCGGCTTCGTTGCTAGTGGCGACAGCCTGGCCTTGACGCGAATGGGCTGCACTGCCGGGTCGAGATTCAGGGAGATGGGGGGCCCAGAGAAGCATCCCAGGGTGCCATCAAAAATGCGGGAAAATTCCGCGCACACCGTGCCAAAATCCCATGACCCGACCTGGTGGATTCCATTCAGAGGGAGTCCCAGGGCCTCAAACCAGGAGAGTCCCAGCAGGCCAGAGAGAGGCTATCCACCACCAGCAGGTCTAGGGTGCCGTTAAAGTCTTGGAACTGTACCCAGAACTTGCCCCAGCCCAGCACCACCATGGGGTTCTTATTGAAGTCCCTTAACCGGAAACCCCACAGCTTCTGAAGGGGCGGGCCCCCCTTCAGACACAGCATGCGAAGCATATCCATGGAGATAATGGAGTAGGTCGACCCTCTGTCGATCTCCATGCTGCAGGGGGATCCCTCTATAAGAACCATGACATGCATCTGGTTGGGGCCATCGGGGGGCAAGTTACAGACCTGGTGTTGGGGGAAGTGGGCCAATATGGTGTGGAGGTCAATGGGTGGCTCCGGCGTGGTCTGGTGGGTGGACGACTTCTGGCATTGTCCCTTGGAGCGGCAAACCCGGGAAATGTGCCCCAATTTGTTGCAGGTCCAGCAGACTGCATTTCGGAAGTGGCGCGACCGGCGCTCGTGACCCTCTGCAGCTGGCGCACGGGGCAGAGGTGGTCGAAGAGGCTTTGCCCGCATTGGCGGATGGCTGAGATGACTGACGACAGACCTGGTGTACCTCATCCAAGGCGTCGGAGCTGGCTTTCGCTTGTGTGCGGTGGAGCGCCTTGGCGTGGCGGTCTTGGTGGACCTTTTCGTATGCAATGGCGTCCCAGATTGCCTTCTCCAGGTCCAGGTCGTCCTGGCTTATCAGCTTCCTGTGAAGCTTTGGCTCTCTTAGTCCCACAAGGAACTGGTTGAGGAGAGTTTTGGCTAGGTTGGAGAAGGAGCACCTGGTCGCGCCCCGCTGCAGAGCCACCAGGAAATTTGAGGCAGTCTCATCAGGGCCCTGGTCCTTCACGAAAAAGTCCAGGCGCTCCACAAACTTAGCCAGGTGATCGGTCAGCGCCTTGACCAAAGAGCTGTACGACTCGTCTTTGGTCAGTTTGGGTGCTATTAAGTCCTTAAGCAGGAGATGAGTCTCCATTCCGCAGCGGCACAGCAGGTACGCCTTTTTTATACCTGGATCCACCACTCCATGGATGGTGAAGTGGCTCTCGAGAGCTTCCAGCCAGGTTTCCCACTGCGAGGGTTGGGAGATTTAAAAAACTGGGAGGCTCTCTGATGCGGCAGCCATCTTACGGGTTCCACATGGAAGCGAGCGGCGTCGATGGCGGAGCAGTGCAGTGCTGCTCTCAAGGTCAGCGATGCGAGGCTCGGTGTTGCAGAGAGGCGGAGCAGTGCGGGGCTAGCGGTGTGATGCTCAGAGCTCGGGAGTGGTGTGGTGAGCGGCGCTTCTCGAAGACGCTCGATGCCACCGTGCCGAAATGGCCACCGCCGCCAGCATCGCACCGCACTGGACTGCCCAATAGAGCCCACCCAGGAGCCAATACTGCAGGAAGAGTTCTCCCAGTTTAAACCAGACTGCCCAACAGAGCCCATCCAGGAGCTGATCAGCCTAGTTTTGTCGATAATTCCTGAATATATCACAGATTTTTTCGGGGATTTTTTCCAGTTCTCCTGAAAAATCCCAGATACATTTGGGAAGCCAAAATATACCTGAAAAATACTGATAAGGTGTTTTTTGGGGGTATATTTTCAGTTTGAGTAAACCCAAATGCACACCCCTAGTCCAAGGCCCTACCCTAGTCATAGCCTTGGTCCACCTAACTCAGTATGGTCTCCTCTGATTGACAGCGGCTGTTCAGGGTCCTGGGAAAAGCAAGGTCCTTTCTAACACCCAGTGCCTGAGGCCATGAGATCTTTTACCAAGTTATATAACTGCAGAAGCCAGATCATTTTTCATTCTTCAAATGTTTACTTTTTATGTTTTTAAGCAATATTTTAATTTTTTTTCCTAATGTCCCCCATTGCCTTTGCTAGGATATTGTTTGTTCTCACATACCCACCACTTATGAACCGTATTCAAACAGCTGCCACTGCAGCTGGAAAGGAAACGGGGGCAACCTTGATGTAGATGACTCATCTGTGTCTTCATGACTCGCCCCATGTCTGTAGTTCAGAACCTTCCCCTTCCCTTGGAACTACTAACCATAAATCAACAGAAACTGAAACTCACACTCACTCTGAGTAACAAATAGCCTATTTCAAGGGGGGGGGAGAGAAACAAAAGCCCAGTGGCACCTTAAGGACTCAGGTGAGCACTGACTCATGAAAGCTTATGCTTGAATATAAATGGTGTTAATCTTTTAGGTGCCACTGGGCTTTTGTTGTGTTTTGCTACAGCAGACTAACACTGTTCCCCCTCTGGCATAGAGAAAGAGCCATGAAAGACAGCCAGAACATCAGTGCCTTGTCGCTTCTTAAAGATGTTTTGGGAATGACACTGTCAGGAGCTGGATGAGTGGGCTCTGGCCTGTGAAAATTTATGCTGCAGTAACAGTGCAATCCTAAGCAGAGCTACTCCCTCCTAAAACCATTGAAGTAAATGGGCTTAGAAAGGGGCCCCTCTGCTTAAGATTGCACTGTAAACAAGCTGGTCTTTAAGGGCTAAACTACATGCGATTGGAACTGCTGTGATCCATCCCTAAAAAGCAAAGAGGAGGGCACAGTATAGATCAAGGCCGGGACACTGGGGAAGGGTGAAGCATAACTCTTTCTCTTGTGTCATTTTCTGACAGAAAATGCCCTTCCTCTGGTTCAGCTTTAAGCTTGGGTAGGGCAAGAAGACAGTCACTTGTATTGTGTCTGTCTTTTTCCCCTACTGGGACTTAAAGCAGCTGGAGCCAAGGATCCAGGGCCGGCCCCAGCTTATTTTGCACCATAGGCGAGGATCCCTTCTGGCGTCCCCCCCCCCCCGTGCACCGGGTTCAGCAAAAGAGCTTCCCCGGCTGCGGAAATGCACGGCTTTTGGCTGTTGGGGGGCTTTTGGCGGGGTGCAGCGGGTGCAGTTTGGCACCCCTAAGGGCCAGCCTGCTCTAGGCGAACGCCTAGTTCGCCTAGTGAGCGAGCCGGCCCTGCAAGGATCATTTATGATTGGTGAAATGATGTGGAGTGGAAGAAACGACACTCCTCCTTGCCAGCTCCTTAGCCCTAATCCATACTGCTCCTTACACCCTGATGGCTTTTAGGATGTCCAAACGACACACTAGGTAATCCAGACATGGAGCTCCACGATCCTATCATGCATTGTTTGTCTTAAGGAGCCATGTTACTGGTTTTTTTATGTTTTACTGAATACATGGAGACGCAACCAGCAGTTGTTCCTAACATGGTTGGAAGCGTCTGGAGACTTGCACTTTTATGAAGGCATGTGGTGCTGTCAGAATGAAGCAGGGATCAAACCTCTGTGCTGTCACCTCTTTCAGATATATATTTCAAAGCTCCCTATACTGCAAAAAAAAAAAAAGAAGCCACCCAAATAAAATTGTCACTTTTACAAACACCCAGCCTTCCCCCAACTCCACGCCCCAAGGCAGCCAAACAAACCATTTGTCTTCGTTTTCACTTTGGGCAATGCCTCGAAATAAGCCATCCCTATGTCATACCCAGAGTGACACTCCCCAAATCAGCTTGAAGTTCTGCCGGCAGCGGCACTGTTGCAGCTTAAAAAGTTGTGCAACACCTTTGGTAAACACTTCCTCATGCAGGAACAAGAATAAAGCCGAAGGACTTCTTTTTCGCCTCTCACAGTCGAAGCGAAGATCGGCTCAAGTCAGCACTAGCATTCTCACACCAGAGGGCTACGCCGCTGTTGCCCTCTCCCCAAAATGATTAAAGCCCTCTTTGTTACTACCTGCCTGCTTCTCTTTCAGCATCAAGGTAAGGGTTATATCCCCCCCCCCATTAACTTCTATCAGCACCTGCAAAGAACAGCTTCGGATCAGTTTCTATAGCTTTTGTTAGCTGTGTAATGATTAACAAGCAAATGCCAAGGTTACTTCACATCTCTGAATGGATGCCTTTAAAAAACTATTTTCAGAATGTTGGTATTAAAATGGTCCTAGGCATGTCAGGTTAAATGAAAGGTTTAAATAATTTGGTGAGGACTGATCAAAAAGGAAAGCGACGTCGGTAGCTGCAGCATAGCAGAATGACAACGGAAAGGGAAACGAGTCAAATGTGAAGTTAGAAAATTGGTTAAATATAGTCGAGTCCCCTCAGGCATAAGCATACATTGTATTTATGCAGAGAGTGATTTTTAATGTAATTATCCCTATTGAATGAACCACCCCTCATTTAAGATGTTGTGCAACCACGTACCTTTTTTAATGCGAACATTACAGATTTTTGCCAGGAGAAAAACACAGTTAATCAATATTTGGATGGGTCCTTTCCTTCATAGCGCAATATGATTGTTAACCATGGGAGGAAACATATGTATTACCTATTTCTTTCCCTTCATGAGGCACAAATTTGGTGGCAGAGAACAGAGTTGGTAAACTAGCAGGGAAGAAATGTCCTTTCCTTCCTCCCCTTCCACTATCCAATTGAAGATTGTAGTTTAAACAGCTGGGGGGGAGGGGGAGAGGAGACCAAGGGGGAAAACGTCCTCTGATCATCACATGTGGTTTGAACCTTGATGTGTGTGTGTTCTTAAAAACTCAACTCAGTTACACCCCAGCCTCAAAGTTATGTAAGAGTAAATCTTGTAGGCTTTGATAAAAGAGAGCAGATTCATGCCCAAGTACAAAAAAGTTTAAGTCCCAATGATCAGCTCTTGATAGGGAAGGGAATCAAATCTGTTAGTGGCTTGCAAGTAATAGAAGGGAACAGGCCCTCTCAGAGATCCACAGAGACACCGGCCACTTCCAGCTTTTGGGGGCTGCTGCCTCAAAAGACACAAGCTGCTGAATCTTAACCAAATGCCAAAAAAGTAACATGTCTGAATTTGGGGGCACCTTTGAGCTGTGGTGGCTCAAGTGGTTAAGACGCTGAACTGCAGGCTGTGGAAGGTCAGTAGTTCAGCAGTTCAAGACCCGAGTGTGCCGCATGATTGAGTGAGCTCCCATCTCTAGTTCCAGCTCCTGCCAACCTAGCAGTTCGAAAGCAAGAAATTGCAAGTAGATAAATAGGTACCACTTTGGTGGGAAGGTAACAGCTTTCCGTGCGCCTTGGTGTTTAGTCATGCCGGCCACATGACCACGGAAACGTCTTCGGACAGCGCTGGCTCTTTGGCTTTGAAATGGAGATGAGCACTGCAACCCTAGAGTCAGATTCGACTGGCTTTCGAGCAAGGGAATCTTTACCTTTACCTTGAGCTTGAGGCTTGGGCCCTGAAAGGGGATACATTATGAAGAACACTTCTTATACTTTGGCGTTTTTCCTTGCCACCTGTTTTGCTTCTGCGTTTCCTTCCTTCCTCTGAAGGATGTAGCACTGAGCAGTAATATAAAGTTAAGCATGCTGCTAGAAAAAACAAAACAGTGTGAGAAAAGCCAAGCCTGGTGTGACTGCTTGCTTATGCACATTACCCCAGGAAGCGCCCGGTTGGCATTTAACAGAGACCACTAGGTAAGGAAGAGCCATTTCCAGTATCTTCAGGAGTTTAATGATAACAATGGAGTATTTATGGAGAATGTGAGAGTGTTCAAGGCTGTTAATATGCATTGTCTCAGCAAGGTGATTTCTTAAAAGGCGACTGTCTGAAGTCCTTGTTCTAACTCTTATTTTCTGAAATAACAAAAGAAAGTGGGAAGAAACCTGAGAGATGTGTGTCATTGTTTAATGTAACAAACTTTAACCAGGTGCAGTTCAACAATGAAAAGATTCAGACCATAAACATAACATCAGGGAGTAATTCCTCTTCATTTCAATGGATTGGATCCACAGATGCCCTTCGGATCCAAAGATGGCCTTCCACATGTGGGAGGAGCCCTTTTGTTCATGGAAGCATTCACCCTTGTGTGAACAAAAGGGCTTCTTCTGTGGGTAGAAGAGCACCACTGGATCCCATCTCATGGTTTGCATTCAGCTGAATGATGGTAAAACTGATTGTTTAATTTATTTTTGACATGTATAACCTACCCATTCAGTCCAGAATTTCCTGATGAACATTGCAAGTGTTTGACAAGGATCAGTATAGCTAACATATTAAAAACAACAATAACTCAAAGCCATGAAAAGAACCATGAAAAGACCTGGGGAAAGAGAAAGGATTTCATTAGCTTCCTAAAGCACGGGAATGGTAGCTGTGGTTGAGTCCTTTCAGAGGTGGATTTCCTGGGAGGGGTGCACAGCAGCAAAGGCCTCACAAATGCTCACCAGCAACAGCATGCTGGAACTCATTTTTATGGTTGCCATACGGAAGCTCAAAGTGATTGGCTGTCTCCATACAAGAAACCATCCACAGACAGAGCCTTGCTATGTGGATTCCATCCTTTTCTCCATGTGGCAAAACAGCAGACGCATGATGAGGAGTTTTTAAAAAGTCTGTTAGAAAACAGAACCTCTCAAGAGGTCCAAAGCAGAGGCAGAGGAGCCCAAATCTCCTCTGGCAGTTGCTTCTTAGCAACTTCTCAGCCAGAAAACAAGATGAGAACCCCAAAATCTTGTTTGCCTTGCATCCTCTGGAGTGGCATTAGCAATGCTGTGCTGCTGATCTATGAAAGTGAGAAGATTGTAGCATTGCATCACAGTCCTTAGGTGGAACTGGATGTCACAAGAAATACACAGCTACCTCTTTGCAATTCTTTCTCCCCTCTTCCTGGCAATGCATAATATAATACAACGTGTGGTGCAATATCGTTGCATTATGTTTTCCCACATCTGCACTGATGACAATTGTGTGAAGCTAGGCTATGGAGACACACCGTGCAATGATACTGGATCACACATTGTGTTATACTGTGGCCTATCTACATATTATGTTTGAATTAATTAATTATCATGTGGCATTGTGTGTTGTATAGCCAGGATATCTGAAGATTGTCTGGCAGCCAGAAGTTCTAGCTCTTTTAGCATTATGCACCACTAGGTGGCAAGCTAGACCTGTTTTTTAAAGGCAAGAGATGTTTCAGAGGTGGTCTTCACCCATATTATTTTCCCAATCTAAAATGGCCCCAAGGAACTGCTGTTTGCCGGCAACTTGTGGCTAGAGTATCAGTCTAGGCTCTGGGAGACCAGTTTCAATTTCTGACACTGCCATAGAAGCTCACTGGGTGATCTTGGGCCAGTTGCTCTCTCTCTCAGCCTAACCTACTTCACGGGGTTGTTGGCTGAGGACAGACTGGCAGTTTGAAGTGTGAGGGAGTCGTGGCAAAAAGGACCTGGAACAACTTGTTCCGGGTATTCCCGGTCACACTGCACCGACTGATGCGGGAACATACCATAGAGGAGGCACAAGGGAGTGTTGCACATATTAGATTCCATGTCAAAAATGATGTCAAATGAGGAGGAAGATCTATGTTTTATTTCAATTAACAGGAAAACAGTTGGACCAAATAGTCCATCCAAAATTGACTACTTTCTTCTCAGCATATTCAAGAAATATGCTTCAATTAACAGGAAAACGATTGGACCAAATAACTCAAAAAATTGACTACTTTCTTCTTTTTCTTCCTCATCTTCTTCTTCTTCTTGAACATACTCTGAGCATATTCAGGAAATACATGATATTTTATACATGGACTGACATAAAAAAAATATATTCAAAAAGTGTAATTGGTTACAAAAGACAGTGGTAATTTGAATAATAAACCTCTGATTTGTAAAGAAACATATATCTACGTCAAATCTACGTAAAACCTAAGTGTTTACTTAACCTAACCTAAATGATAATGGGCAAGGATTCTTCATATCCCAAACAAAAGTGTTTTTTTCCTGATATGAGACCAAAATCTTATCTGACCCATACATTGCAAGGTTTTACCCTTAAGAACTACCTATTATCTTGTCTGCTAGCAATATCAGACGTACAAGGGAAAAGCCTTCTATATAACAGGCCTTTCTTATATTCTAATAAAATATTACTTAAAAGAGAAAACCATAAAACCAAGAAAATATGAATATGAACAATCAAGAAGTAAAAAACCCTATATATAAAAATCCTTATATTCCCATTCATTCTACAGGAGCGTTTGCACTGTTGGCCCGCCCCTGGCAGAGGCGCGGCTGTAAGGCACAGCTTTCTTTTTGGTAATCCGGAGATATGTGCTTATGCGCACAAGCAATTGCGGCTTTCGCCATTCACACTTTTTTGGTGCAGGATGAACGCGGGATGACCGCACTCTCCAGGGTTTGCTACCACTTTCACCAGGTTCTTTTTAAACTCGGGAGGCAAGCGCTACAAGACGGGCTGAGTACGGTGGGGGAACGCCTGACAGATGTGCCTGTGTGAACCGGCCCTTTAATCCATTTGAGAAATGTTTCTGGCACGTGCCTATCTCGGAGCAAACTGCCAGTCTGAACTTAGCCGTTGTGAGGACAAAATAGGGTAGGAGAGGGCCACGTTGCTAGGGGTTGCTCAGTGTTGAGCCAGATCTGCCTGGCTACCAGTGGGAGGGTTGAGGGGGTGGGGGACGTCGTGACATTGGCAATGCCGCTAACGCAACTTCCAGGTACAACCCAGAAGTGACAATGGGTAGCTCTAGAAATTGCTGAAAACTCTGCAATAAAACTTTCCACCAATTGGACCTGGAAGTAATGAACCAGCGCAGAGGTTGGCAGCAGTTTTTCTTTCCTTTTCCTTTTTCTCCTTCCATTGCTTGGAGCAGTAGCAGAGAAAGGGGATGATGGTGGAAGGTCTCCAGTTAGGGTTGCCAAATCGAAATTGGCCGGGAGCAGGGGGCTCCCGGCCGGCGTCCTCTTTGTGCACGCGCGCA